GCCAAAACAAACAAAAATCACCTGCTATTATTCATGGAAACCATACCAATCGTTTGCTCATGCCTCCAATCACCATTGCCTCTGACTTGCCAGTCCAGAACACACCTCCCTGGTTACCACTCCTTTATGTCTATTGTCTTTCCCAATTAGAACATAAGCTGGTTGTGAGAAGACGTTGTCTGCTGGCTTGGAATTATATCCCCAGCCTACAGTTTAGTGCCTGGAATATAAGTACCTAATTATCTATTCATTCATTCACTCCTCCTTTTGGTATGACCCCTCCTCAGGCTCCTTTTTTGAACCCACCTCCTTCCCCCTTGGAGCGAGTGTTAGAGAAATGCAGAGGATAAATCTCTGAACTTGGAGCCCAGTAAGCCCAGCTTGGAAAGCTCTCCTCTACAGCTTTGGACCTACAGGACCATGGAAAGAAACAACCACTCTGAGCCTCCTTGTCTTAGTTTGTGAAAATAACCCTAACGTGAAAATAACCTTTGAGGTAGCTGCCTCCCAGGGTTGCCTCAAAGCTCCAGTGAGGCAATGGAGGACCCTAACACCATTGGTCTCCCTCCCTGCTTTGGCCCAGACCCTCTCTACAATGTCTCCCCTCATGTCCTTATCTGTGCTTATGGGTTCACTTATCTGTATACCAACTGACTGCTAGAAATGTCTATCTTGATGTCCTCTTGGTATCTGAAACTTTCTGTGTCCAGAATTGAGTTGATTATTTCCCTTATGAGATCTACTCCCCCTCCAAACTCCCCTCTTTCTGTTGAGAGGACCTATTTTGCTAGTCACTTCACTTTTTCTCACCCTTCACATCCAATCTGTGGTCAAATCTTGTTGATTCTGCCTCTATAACATCTCTTGAATCTGTCCCCTCTTCTCTATTCACATGATCACTACTCTATTTCAAGCCTTTATTGTCTTAACTATTGTCACAAACTTCTGATTGGTCTAATTGGAGAGTCAGTTCTGTCTCCAATCTCTCTTCTGCATAGTTGCCAAATGTATACTCCTAAAACACAGGTCACCCCTCCCCTGTTCAAAAATCCTTCAACAGCTCGCTAGAAGCTCGAGCTCCTAGAAAACAAGACCTTTTGACCTTCCATTCTCCCTACATACCTCTCATTACCCAAACTACCTTGCCAGACAGGTTTCACACACTCTATGTTCCATCAAACTGACTAAGTGACTATTTTTCCAAATACAGTATTCCATCTCCTGCCTGCAGATGTTTGCACAAGCCTGTCCCTTGTGCCTAGGAATGTGCTGTTTCCTGTTCTCTGCCTCTCAGGAGTCTACCTTTGGGGCTCAATTCAGTTACCACCTTTCCATGAAGTCTTCCTTGATCTCCCTACTCACTAGTCAGGCTCTCTCCATTACCAAAGGGAGAGAGTACTTAATCCGAGTATGCTTTGTATTCTCTGAGTAGACTATAAACTCCCTGAGGGAAGGGACTGTTCTGTTTTCATCCCCTTAAGCCAAGCATGGCACCTAGAACTTAATGGATGTTTATTTAATGCTTATTGAGAGTTGCCTCTCTAAGCAAGTACCTGAAATCCTCCTTTCTTGGTGTCCAAATCCCCTGCAGAATTGAAATTCCAGAGGTGGGGAAAGTAGAGTTTGGGGATTAAGGGCTGGGAGTGGAATACTTTAACCTAACCTCTTGGCTCCCTTGACTTAATACGAGGCAGGAGACCTGGGGACTTCTGATGGTCTTAGAGGGTAGCTCAGAGAAACTAAGTGACTTTCACATCATTGTAGAGGCTGGGATTCCCAGTTCTGATACAGAGCTCCTGTATCTCTCTGGGCCTGTTTCCTCATCTATAAAATGGAAATAATAATCCTCCACTTGTGTATGGAGCTGGGTTGTTGAATGTCCTCTGCAAACATTGAGGCCCTATAAAAAAGGAGAGCGATGATTTTGATTCTAGCCGGGGTTGAGTAGACCTTGACTTTGAGTCCCTGGGGCATTTCTGACCACTTTAGAAGCATGTAAAGCCTTTTCCCATTTCACCACAGCCCTGTGAGGTTGATAAGTAGGGCAGGTTCCTTCCATAGCCATTTCAGGTGAAGTGATTTGCCAGCTCACACAGCTGAGACTGGAATCCTCTTGGATTCCAGGGCTAAGTGTCTTCCTACTGCCTCATGCTGCTGTGTGTACCAATCCTGTCCTTGCCTTCCATTGGGAACAGAGAGCTGAGCATTGGTATTCCAGGCATCTTAAGAAGGGGGGGAAAAATTCAAACAAATGTTTGAGCCCCCTCGTCTCCTCGCTCCCTCCTCCCTCGCTTCTAGCTTGCCTGCTTCTCTTTCACTTTTCACTTTCCCAGGCTGCAAATGAAGGGGAGTGTGGTGCTTTGGCAGAAGTACTGGGTCTTGGGTCAGGAGAACTGGAATTTTAATCATGAGGAAGGTACTAGATTTGGGGCCCGGGAGATCTAGCTTCCAAGACCAATTCAGCTGCTTTGTACCTTTGAGACACTGGGCAAGTCACAACTCCTTTAGGTTTCACTTTTCTCATCTGTACAATGAGGAGTTTGAAATATATTATTTCTAAAGACCTTCTCTAGCTCTCAATCCCGTGGTCCTATGATAATTTCATGTCTCTAAATCTCCATCTCCTTGTGTCAGGAGGATAGAGAATAACACTGTCCCTGTTGTACTCTAGGCAGGAAGGAGTTAATGTCCAAAGGAAGCTTAGGGATCTCCTGAGTGAGGCTCCCAGGAGGTGCCCCTGTCCCTGACTTCTAAAGCCCTCTTCTTGGTATCTGGATTCCCTGAAGATGTGGAATTCCTGGAGTAAGGGAGCAGATCTTGAGGGATGAGGGCTGGGTAGGGGAAATATTTCAGCCTGGCCCTTTTGCTTCCAATTCTAGCTCCCTCCCACCCAGCTGCCCTCAGCTCCACAGATCTACTGCACCCATAAATCACACACATCAGACTGGCTCCTACGCATATCAAGATCTCATAGAATTTAGAGCCATAAGGGGGCTGTAGAACTCAAGTTTAACTCTTCCTTGCATTTTACAGATGAAGAAATTAAGATATACAATGATCAGGGAATGGCTAAACAAATTGTGACGCATGAATATCGTGGACTGTCACTGTTCCATAAGAAAATATGATGACAAAGAACTGCAGAGAAGCACAGGAAGATCTGAACTGATGCAAAGTGAAGTAAGTAGAACCAGGAAAACAATTATACACAATGACTACACTAATGTTAATGGAAACGATAACCACAAAAATGGCATTGAACATTGTAATTATGACCAAGCTTGTGTTTGAAGAAGATAGCTATGTGTGGTGGATAGAGTGGATATGGAATCAAAAAGATCAGAGTTTGGGTGCTGCCTCAAGGTACTTTGTGACTCTGGGCAAGTCACTTAACCTCTCTTAACCTCAATTTACCCACTTGCAAAATTGGGATAGTAATAGCACCTTCCTTGCAGGGTTATTTACAGGATCAAATCAGATAATGTATATAAAGTTCTACTCAAATGATAGCAATGAGGAGGAGGAGGAGGAGGAGGAGGAGGATGAAGTGAGTAAATGTACCTCCTTCCCTTTTTTGCAGGGGGGATGGGTGGAAATACGAGTATAAAACATGGGTGTATTTGCGTATACTGTCAGACAGTCTATGTGTTGATTAATTTTGCTCAATTGTCTTTCTTCTACTTTTTAAAAATCCTTTGTTTCAAGAGACAGTTCACTGAGTAGGAGAAAATTGGAGGGACATATTGGAAATGTGGTTAGGTAAAAACAAAAGATGTCAATAAAAATTAAAAAGAAATAGAAGCACAGAGAGGTTAGATGACCTCATAGAAGGTACCACAGAGGTCATCCAGTCCAACCCTGATATTTTACAGAGCAGGAAACCTTGCCCAAAAGACCAAGTGACTTGCTCAAGGTCACACGATTAGTGTCAGAATCACATTTTGTACCCAGATTTTCTGACTCCAAATCCCAGTGTTCTTTCATCTTTCCTTTTTCATTATGAATTTAACAAATCCCAACTAATACAAATATTTCAATACCCAAAAGAAAACAGAAAGGAGGATCACCCATGAGCTTGGGAACTTCTGAGAATTTGGTTTTTAAAGGTTTTTATTCACTTCAACAGGCATCTAGGTGGCATTGTGGATAGAGCACCAGGCTGGGAATCAGGAAGATCTGAGTTCGAATCCAGCCTCAGACACTAGCTGTGTGACCCTGGGCCAGTCACTTAACCCTGTTTGCCTCAGTTTCCTCAACTGTCAAATGGGCTGGAGAAGGAAATGGCAAACCACTCCAGTATCTTTGCCAAGAAAACCCCAAATGGGGTCATGAAGAGTCGGACACGACTGAAAAAAATGACTCAAGGATAACAAACAATTCACTTCAACAAAGTAGCAGCAAAATTGCCCTGTTAGCTTGTAGCCCCTTTGAAATCTTTTGTTTCCTTCCTTATGTTTTTTCAGTATTTTGTTGCTACTCCTTTAAAAAACGGGTTTTATTTTTTGTATCTCCATCACTAACCACTAATTCGCTGTCCCTGCCCCACGGAGCCTTTTCTTGGAACAAATTTAGCTAAGCACAATAAATCAAGGCATTGGCCAAGTCTGAAAATGTATGTCTCATTCGGTGCCCAGTACTCTACTCCACACCATTGTGGATCATTAATCTCATACATATCAACATACACAAACTCTTTTGTCCTCTCTCCTCCTCCTCTTCCTCCTCCTCCTCCTTTCTCTCTCTCTCTCTCTCTCTCTCTCTCTCTCTCTCTCTCTCTCTCTCTCACACACACACACACACACACACACACACAATCACTATAAATACTTCTTCCTGGATCTGAGAAACCCTTTCTTTGACCCTCTTCTAACATCCTTCTTCTCTTTCTGGTTTAAATATTAATAGAGGAGACTGGAGCTGTGATTTCATTGGAACAGGGGATTCCCTTGTGAGGAAACTTCCTGTACCAATATTTTCTTTTGAAAAGAGTTGTCTGGAGTACAAGAGATTGGATGACTTGGCCAGTCCCAGAGTCAGTAGGTTTCTGGACCTGACTCTGTATCGCCCTGGCTTCAGGGTCAGCTCTCCAACTACCATCCACATTGCCTCTGACATAGATTGTCAGAGGTTTGCTCTACAACCGACATCTACATATGGACATTCACTAATGATTCATGAGGAAGTATCAGCAAACACACAAAGGTACGAACTCCCTGGAAGCAGCTGGGTGTCTCTCCATGTGTTTAATTGTTGGAGGAAAACACAAGTCTTAAATGTATATGTCATCTCTATCCTTGCTTGTGTGTTTTCATGGGCATTCTTCCATGGGTGGGGCCTGTGCTTGTCTCTGTTTGGGAGGACATGTCCTGTGTTTATCTGTCTGTCTGTGGCAGTGTCCTGTTTATACGTCTGTGCTGTCCAGTGTCTGGGTTTGTGGCATTTTGTGTCTTTGTGTTGCATGTGCTGCTGCTGCTGTGTGTGTGTACTCCTGTGTTGTGAATGTGTGTGTCCTATTTCTCTCTCTGCTTGGGACTGTGCCCTATTCATTTTGTCTTTGTAGGTGATACCCAACTCACAAGTCTTTGTTTGTTGTGGGTCCCCTTGTGGGTTGTATGAAGGCTTTACTGGATGTGTGTGTGTGTGTATGTGTGTGTGTGCGCGCGCGCGTGCGCACAGTCTCAGGTGCCTCTGGGATTTGAATGTGTTTTCCCTGGGTGTGCTAGCCACTTGTAAGTATAGGCAATCTCCTGGGTCTGTGACTGTGTGTATCCCTGGGTGTGTGTGATCCCTCGAATCTTTGTACTGTGTGGGCTGCCCTGTGTGCTGGATGTCCTGTGTTTGTCTCTCTGTCTGCATATGATTGTGTTGTGTGTCCCTTGGGCATGCTGTCCAGTGTGAATAAATCTGTATGTCCTTCAACATTTCTGTTATGACTATGTGTGTGCTTTCCTGTGTGTTGTCCCTGTGGTGTGTGTGTGTGTATGTGTGTGTGTGCTGTCCAGCATTCATCTACATGTCCCTGTGTGGGCCCTTCGATGCCTCGTGTGTGTGCATGTGTGTGCATGCATGTGTAGGTATGTGCCTGTGTGCACTTGTGTGTGTGCTATGTGGTGCCATGTGCTGTTTCTGTCAGTTTATGAGGGCATACTCCTGGGCTGGGCTGGGCTGGGTGAGTAGCTGGGTTTCTGGGAGTTTCATTCCCTCCTGAGGCTGGCCTCATTGGACAAGGCCAGAGGAAGGCCCTGCCTAGCAGCCGCCCCCAAATAAAGGCTCAGCCAGCGAAAGCCCTGCCCCTCATATCGCTCACTCCCACTCTTCCAGTTGCTGCTGCTGCTGCCGCCGCCGCCACCGAGAACATCCAGGTCCAGCCTCTGGGAGCTAGCAAGAGACCACTCCTGCCCCTTCCCCTCCCAGGCGGTGGCCCAGTCATGCCAGCCCTGCCCCGAGGCCTCTTTCTGGGTGAGACTTCAGCTCCTGGCTGTCCTTGGGTCCCACCAGGAAGGGAGGTGGGGGGCTGATAGTCCAAGGCACATGGGGAGGCTGGAGCTTCTGGGTGGGGTTCCCCCTTTTCTGTCGTCTGGCCCATGGCTACAGCCTTTTGCCTTCTGACCCCCAAGTCCTCCACCATCTGTACTGTCCTCTAGCCTCCATTTCCCCCCCCCATCTGTCACTCCAGCTTCCATCCCTGTCTGCCACCTTATCTCTCGCCTCTATCTGCCCCCCCCGCACCACTCTATCCCCTCCTCCCTGTGTGCCACCTTTTGTTCTCCTCCTCTATCCTGTCCTTCCCCCCTTTTGCCTCCCTCTGTCCTCCAACCTCCATCTCTCCATCTGTCACCCTCTGTCCTTTAACCTCTATTCCCCTATCTTCCAGCCTCGGCCCCTTATCCTCCAACTAGCACCTGGCCTCTTGCCTTTGGCCTCTGCCCTGCCAAGCCCTGTAACACTGAATGCAAAGAGCACCTGCCAGCAGTCAGTTCAGAGGAGGAAATCATGAGGAGCAGGTGCTAGCTGGGCCACACCCTACGGTAGGACCAGCCAGTGAGGTTCTTTTGGCCAGGCTGATGAGGAATGGTGTAGATACTGCAGTGCCCACGACCCCTATCATGGAGATCACCTCTGGTTTCTTACCCTCTCACGCTGGGGATTGCTGACATTCACGGGGAGGGAGGAGGAGGATACCCATGGAAATCCCCAAACCCAGGAGTTATTCTACTTGGCTTTTCCCCAAGGTGCCCCTGGGATGGGGGGAGGGATTGGAGCTGAACAGGTACGAAGAAGTTTATGGGTCAAATTGTGATTTCCCCAGTTTAGTTCAAGCGCCCCTGACCCAAACAGCCCTGTGGCTGGAGTGCATGATGCAAGCAAAAGAGTAATGGATTTGTGCTTAGAGGTCCTCGATTCAAATCCTAACTTGTTACATACTAGTCAGATGGCCTTAGGAAAGTTCTTTCCCCTTTCAGGCCTCCGTTTCTTCCTCTGTAAAATGAGGGAACGCTGTGCCTAGAGGACCTCTTTATGACCTTTCCAGCTCTAAATCCCATCAGTGGTCAGCCCCCATCCATGGAGCTAATGTGACAGAGGGAAAAGAGCCCTTGACAAAGTGAGAGGAAACTGCTCTCAACTGCTGGCTCTTCTGTGTCACCATCTCACTGAGCTTCAAGTTCCTCATGTGCAAGATGGGTACAAAAATGACAGTCCTGCCTACTCTTGCGTTAAGGAAAGTGCTTTGTCAAACACCCTAGAAACCAGAGAGTGTAGACTGTTATGTGTGCAGCCCTGGGCTTCCCAAGTCATTGGCCTTCACCACATTGTGGCTTCTTGACTTCCCCCTTCCTTCTATCTCCTGAGCCCCACCCCATAAGAACCATGATGTGGGTCATCTCTGGTTCCCTAGGAACAGAGAAAACAAAGTGAGTGAAAGAACAGTAGTTTTTGGTGCAGACTGAGGCGGCTCCAACCACGGAGACCCACCTTCTCTTCTTCTCCATAGCCCTCCCCTCCCCCCCCACCACCTGTGGCACTTAGGTTCTGTTCTCGGCTTTGTGGGCTAGATGAAAACCAGTCCAGGAATTCAAGTCAGAGGCTCCAGGTTCAAATCTCTCTCTGGGTCTCAGTTTTTCAGTTTTCATTTGGAGGACCATGTGACCCCTAGTGACTCTTCTACCTCACACATTCTATGAGGTAAATAGGTAGTTCAGTGGATACAGCACTAAGTCCAGACTCAGGAGAAGACCTGAATTCAAATCCAGAATAAGATGCTTAACTAGCTGTGTGACCCTGAGTAAGTCACTTAATCTCTATTTGCCTCCATTTCTCCATCTATAAAATGGGATAATAATACCACCTACCTTCCAAGGTTGTTGTTGTGAGAATCAAATGAAATATTTGTAAAGCAATTTGTAAACCTCAAAGTTCTTCAGAAATACTGACTATTGTTATTATTGTGATCTCTCTGGGACCAGGGCCAGGAGGGAGAGTCAATGTGGTTGGCACATGTCACTGGAAGCTCAGAACTCTTTCTCCTTTAGATTGATAGACTGCTGGAGTTGGAAGGGACCATCCAACCCTCATATTTTACAAATGGGCAAAGTGTTTTATATGCATTGTTCATTTTATCCCTTAATAGCCAAGTGAAGTAAACAGAACAGGGAGTATTGTCCCCATTTTGCAGAGATGGAAACTGAAACCCAGAGTGGATAAATGATTTGCTGCTGGCACTAGGTAGAATACTTTCCTTCATCCCTCCCTACTCTTTCTTTCTTTCCTTTTTTCTTCCTTCCTCTCTCTCTCTCTGTCTCTCTGTCTCTCTCTCTCTGTCTCTCTGTTTCTGTCTCTCTCTCTCTGTCTCTCTCTCTCTCTGTCTCTCTCTCTCTGTCTCTGTCTCTGTCTCTCTCTCTCTCTCTCTCTCTCTCTCTCTCTCTCTCTCTCTCTCTCTCTCTCTGTCTCTTTCTCTCTCTCTGTCTGTCTCTTTCTCTTTCTCTCTGTCTCATCTCTGTCTTGCCCAGGTTACACAAGTACAGTGGCCCCTCACAGCCCAATCTCGCTACCAAATGGCACAGCTGCTTTAATTGTTCCATTTTCTGGCCTGGGGAAGTTCGCTCTCCTTGGGCAGCCTGGGGACCTGACGTATTTGTGCCAGACTTAGTGTGGACGCCTGATCAGCTTTAGCCCCACTATGGCTCAGAACTTCTGAAACCAAGTGACCAACTAGCCTTAACCTCCCTCAGCAGCAGGAATTACAGGTAGGGAGAAGAGATGACTTTTGCAATCCCTTACCAACTCAGAACTTCTGTGATGCTGGAATCAGAATCAGGTCACACAGGTAGAGAGGAACAGAGACTTGGGTCTAGAACTCAGATCTCCAAACTGCTAGTATAATACTGTCTCCATCACACAACGCTGCTTCCCTCTTAGAAGATGTGAATTTGTAAAGTACTCTAAGATCCTCAGAAGAAAGATGAGAGAGAAAGACAGAAAGACAGAGATAGAGTGAGACAGAGAGACAGAGGCAGAGAGAGAAAGACAGACAGAGAGACAGAAACAGAGAGCATGTGAAGTGACATTTTCCCCAATGATGACTGAGGCCCATACATGGTGCCCTGGCCCTGGAGGTGGAGGTGGCGATGGGGGCAGAGCAATCGATGGGGCTTTAATAGGCCCAAGAGGCCGCTCCAGCCCCAGACAGCCAGACATGGGGGTGGGGGAGAGAAGCAGTAGGTTTTCCCGCCTGCTGGGAGGAAAAGTATACCAGATGCCATGGGTGGAAACACTGGGAGCCAGGGATCGGCTCCTGTCCTGGCTTCTGTTTGTGGAGTTTCCAACTCCTTTTCCAGATGGAGAGTGGAGGGTCATTCAGAGCTGATGTGGGGGTTGAGGACATAGAATCTGGGGCATACCAGCTTCTATCCTTCCTTTCCCATCCACCCCCAAAATGACCTCTGCCAGCATCACCACTCCTCCCTCCTTCCCCCAAGGTCTTGGCCCTGCCTCCTCCTTTACCCTCCCCACCAGACAGAGAAAGGGAAAGGCCCAGGTTGGGGCCTCCACCAGATGTGCTGGAACTGCCAAGGCTGGGGGTGGGGGCAGTGGACAACAGAAGGAGGGCTGGGTGATTTCCACCATTTGGCCATCCCCAGGAGCCAGACTAGGGAGAGGGAGCCCCAGGGCTGGTCAGCACTGTATTGTAGGGGATGTATGTGCATAGTGGTAGTGTTGGGGGGTGGAAGGTAAGGACCCAGGAGCCCAGCTTCATCCCAAGTCCTTCTCCCCACCTCCTCAGCTTTAGACAGATGCCTAGGAGACAGGGTCAGCCTTACCAAGAAAGCCTAGTGGTCCTAGAATAACTTTAGAGCTGGAAGGGCCCATAGAGATCATTGAAGCCAATGCTCTCACCTTACAAAGGAGAAAACTGAGGCCCAGAAAAGGGAACTGACTTGCCCAAGGTCACACAACCAGGAAGTAGCAGAGCTGACATTTGAACCCAGGTTCTCCAACTTTAAAGCCAGTGCTTTTCCCCTGATGTCACCCTGCCCTAGGTCTCCCTCTGCCTACCACCCACCCTGGAGGCTTCCAGCTCTGCTGCAGCCCTCCTGGCTCTGAAGCTCTGGCTCCAGAATTCCCCTTCGAGCCTGAAACCCATCAGGGGCTCAAGCTGAGAGTGTCCCAGGGTGACTCAGCCATTCCATTCTGTCCAGGAAATGACTCAGTGCCTGCCCTCCCCTCTGCCATATCACCATGACCCCCTCCCACTGATCCAGTCCCTCAGGCTGTCCCTTTCTCTCCTTCTGCCTGCCTGACAGTCGGGGGCCCTCTCCACACTATAGATTCATTCTGCACTTCAGATCAGCCCTCCCTTGGCAGACTTACAGAATCTCAGAGCTCCAAGAGACCTCAGCGGGGCCCTGGATTAACCAAGTCTGGATGAGAATCCACAACTAGGGTGCATCCAACCCCTTGCTTAAAAACTGTCCCCAATGGCAGGGAGCCCACAATCCTTGGAGGAATTCCATTCAACTTTCAGATGGGATATTCTCCCTAGAACAGAATATTTCATCTGTCTATCTACCCCAACCTCCCTCTGTCCACCCCATCCACATACCCCATCCTCCTCTTCAGATTCCAGCCTAAGGATTTAGATATTAATGAAACTCAGGAAAAAGATAACAGGAGACTCAAGAGCTATGAAAGTCCACTGTCTGGTCCAAATCCCCCATTTTACAGATGAGGAAACTGAGGCAAACAGGGTTAAGTGACTCATCCAGGGTCACACAGCTAGTAAATATCTGAGCCAGATTTGAACATAGGTCCTCTTGACTCCAGGCCTCTGTCTAGCTAGGTGGTTCCACCTAGCTGCCTCAATACAGGTACACAGGCAGGAACTGGCAAAGTCAAGATTCAAACCCAAGATTCAAAGTCCTTAAGACTCTAGGGATCTTTCACCTGTACTGTTCTACTTCTAAGAGACATATTCTGGGATAGGAGGTAGAAGATTCCTGGGGCAAAGAGACAACCCCCCCCTGCCCCCTGGCCTAGAAATAAAGATAGAAACAGGGCCTCAATCAACTCAATCAAGTCAAAATCATCTCCTTAATTCAAACAACGTGGGATCCAGGTCTTCTGACTCATGAGTGAGCAGCCAGACAGAAGAATGGGTCCCACTTGGACCTGAGCTCACATCACTTCCCATCACCTACTCCCCTCCTCCTGGTAGCCAGTTCAATACCACCTGGCCCCTTCTTCCCAGCAGACAGTACTTTCCTTGGGGAAAGAAAGAAAGAAAGAAAGAAAGAAAGAAAGAAAGAAAGAAAGAAAGAAAGAAAGAAAGAAAGAAAGAAAGAAAGAAAGAAAGAAAGAAAGAAAGAAAGAAAGAAAGAAAAAAGAAAGAAAGAAAGAAAGAAAGAAAGGAGAGAGAGAGAAAAGAGAGAGAGAAAAGAGAGAGAGAGAAAAGAGAGAGAGAAAAGAGAGAGAGAGAGAGAAAGAGAATGAAAGAAAGAGAGAGAGAATGAAGGAAAGAGAGAATGAAAGAAAGAGAGAGAGAATGAAGGAAAGAGAGAATGAAAGAAAGAGAGAATGAAGGAAAGAGAATGAGAGAAAGAGAGAGAGAATGAAGGAAAGAGAATGAGAGAAAGAGAGAGAGAATGAAAGAAAGAGAAGGAAGGAAGGAAGGAGGGAGGAAGGAAGGAAGGAAAGAAGGAAGGAAGGAAGGAAGGAAGGAAGGAAGGAAGGAAGGAAGGAAGGAAGGAAGGAAGGAAGGAAGGAAGGAAGGAAACTGGATCTGGAGCTGGAAAAACTTTGTTGAAATCTTGGCTCTGTGGCTTTCCACCAGTGTAACCTCAAACAAGTCACTTCCCCTCTATGGCCTCAGTTTCCTGATTTCTAAAGTGAGGAGGTTGGAACAGATGACTTTGGAGATCTTTTCCAGCTCAGGATCCAGAACACTGTGGAGCAGTGGTGTTGACAAGAACTCTGAGCTTCACCAGATTGTAGGAATTAGAGATGGGAAGGCTCTTAGAGGTCATCCAGTCCAACCCCCTAAAATTATGAGTGAGGAAACTGAGGTTGTAGCAGGGGAAGAGATTTCCGAAGGACCCCCCGGTAAATGGAGGTGGTGAGACAGAAGGAGGGTTCAGAAGGGTGCCGTCTTTGGGGAGAAATAGGAGGGAAGGTAGAGAAAAAAGAGCGGGCACTCCAGCTACCTCTCCCTCTCCCCATACAACCAATTCTTCCCTTCCCCAACATTTTCCCTTAGCGTTAGATTCATTTAGTCTACAGTAGATTTTAGTTTCAGCAACTACCCTGATGATCCTTGTTTGCCAGTGGCCCACTGGGGAAGCAGGTGACCCAGTGGAGAGAGCACTGGGCCTGGAGTCGGGAAGACCTGAGTTCAAATCCAGCCTCAGACACTTACTTGTTTGCCTCAGTTTCCTCATCTGTAAAATAAGCCAGAGAAGGAAATGGCAAACCAGTCCACTATCTCTGCCAAAGCCCTAAATGGGTCATGGAGAGTCAGACACAACTCAACAACAACAACCAATGGAGAAATGCATTGTCAAATGCCCCATCACAGAGAGTCAGAGAGCGCTGTTAGAACATCAGCCCCTTGAGCACAGGGATGACGTTACTTTTCTTTCTGTTTTCCCGTTGGACAGCAGGGTGCTGGGCACAGGGTGAGCACTTACCAAAGGACTGTTGAGATCAGCTTAGCCACCCCCTTTTTGTGGGGCAGCATTTGGTGGAATTAGGTGGGTTGGTCAACCCCCAGAACTACTGCAGACAAGGACGTTGTGGTACAGACTTGGGGCAGGTACATTGGATCTGGAACCCACCTGTGGACCTTTGGACAAGAAGAGCTTAAAAGCAGGTTTTTGGAGGGTGGCAGATGACTCCTGTGCCAGGGAAACTCCTTGCTGGAACTCACTTATTTCTTCTTCAGACACTCTTTCCTGGGGGTATTTGAAGGTCCTTTTATTAAAGAGATTGTTTGTTTGAACCGGGGCTCTGAGGGACCCAACCAGATGTGGAACCGGGATGTGGAGGCTACCCATTGCCCAGAAGGGGCAACTGAGGCCCAGAGAGGGGAAATGAGTTGCCCTAGGTGGCCCAGCTAAAGCTTTGGAGGTAGGACTCAAATCCAGTATCCTGACTCCCATTGCAGGGTCTTTTTTCCCCACTGTACTGCCTAGAATGCTTTCCCTCCCCTTCAATTTCTCCTTACTTTGAACCCAGGTCTCCTGGTTACCCGTCCAGGCATCTTTCCAATGGAATTTGGCTGCTGCTTTTTTGCATTAAATTGTAAGCTCCTTGAGGGCAGGGACTGTCTTTTGTCTCTTTTTGTATCCCCAGTGCCTGGCACAATGCCTGGCACATAGTAGGTACTTAAGAAATCTTTATTAATTGATTGATTAGACTCTTAAATCTCTAGTGAGACAGAATGCTGTAAAGGAAAGAGCCCTAGGTTTGGAGGCAGAAGACCTGGGTTTGAATCCTGACTCTGCCACCTATTATCTGTGTGACCTTGGGCAAGTCACTTCCCTTCTCTCTGGGCTTAGTTGCCCAAACTATTAAAAGTAAAGTTTCGACTAGATTATCTCCAAGGTCCCTTCTGACTCTAAATCCTATAATGGCTCCTAAGTGCCCACAGGACAGGGGCAAACCAGGTCCTAGAATCATGCCAGTAGGGACCTTACAATTGATCTGGCCCAGCCCCTTCTTTCTACAGATGGGGAAAGTGAGTTCTTGAAAGAGGAAGCCATCTGATCCAAGCCTGAGGAAGGCCCGTTTGCTGATGATCCCAGGCCTCCAGAGACGTGACAAGCCTGGGCCTTTATTCCTTTTTTTCTTTAGAGTCAGAGGACCTGGGTTTGAATCCCTGTACTCCTAACTAACTGTCTGACCTAGACCAAGAACATCGTAAGACTTCCCAGGGCCTCAGTTTCCTTATCTGTAAAACAAAGGCATTGGATCAGATGGTCACTAAGGTCCTATATTCCCACCCCTCCTCTATTTCAGGCCTCTGTGTCTTGGTCCTTTTGGAAACTGCTGCAGCCCAGAGCTCCAAAGGTGAGTATGCTTGGAGCCCACCCCATTCACAGCTGGAGACTGAGGGAAGCCCAGCCAGGGAAGAGAGAGGCCTGATCTGGGGAGTGGGGCATAGAGAGAGGCTGCCTCTACAACTCAGCAAACCCCACTCAAGTCCCTTGGCTATATCCCCCCTCCAATGCCGCCATCCTCACTCGAGATCAAATCCCTACTCTGTTACTGGCTAGCTGGGTGGTCCTGAGCAATCCCGGGCCTCAGCCTCCTGATCTGTAAAATGGAGGTGATGATACTTGTGCCATGGACCTCACAGAGTTGTAAGGAAAACACCTGATAAGCTTTAAGGTGTGGTGGAAATGTGTTATCTTTTCAAAAATTGTTATTAGCCTCACTACTTCCTCCTTACCCCAACTAAATGATGAGAAAAAAGAAGCTATTGTTGGCCTCCTTCCCTTATCTGCCAGGTTCACAGGTTAGCCAGTTAGCTGACCTCCTAAGCTATGGACTCCCCAAACCCCCAACCAGGTATAGAGATGAAGCTAACAGAATATAACAAGGGCTACTCCCATAAGAGCATCAGCTGTCAGTTTCCTCATCTGTAAAATGGGGGTAATATTCACAGTGTTTCATACCTTACAGTAATGTTGTGGCAGATGTACTATATAAACCTGAGAGCGTTCCAGAAATCAGGGTTCTGACTATCAGTTTTATTCCTCTGGCTAGGTTCTCAATGTCGGTGTCCCCAGCATGCCACTTGTATCAACGGGACCCACTGCACCTGTAATGATGGATTTGCTACTTGGAGTGGGCAGAAATACTTCAATGACCCTCTGGAGATCTGTGATGGTAAAGAGGCTTTACCCACATTAGTCCAAGAGTTGGGAACCAGAAGGAGAGAGCAGCTGAGTGAGGGGGAGGGAGGTGCAAGGAACCCTGCCAAGTGGCTGCTTTTTGTAGAGAAGGGAAGTGGAGGAGGCAGGAGACAGGGGGAGAAGGCAAGAGGGAAAGAGAAGCAGCAGCAGAAGAGTGGCCTGGTGGTGATGGGGTCAGGATGCTGGTGGGCCTCGGTGGCAGCCAGGAACCCGTGAGGCTAGGATCTCATACTGCTGGCCCGTTAACTTGTTCTGGTCATCTCAGTCACTTCAATGCCTCGGTTTCCCCATCAGCAAATGGCCGCTGTGCTTGGTGATTGAGGAGGTAACTCCAATGCATCTGTGATGTCATCAGTTTGGATATTCCCTCCAATAAAGCAGCTCACAACCCTTGCACGCCTTCCCACCCTGGATGACTCTCTTGTCCGAGTCCTGTCCTTGAGTTTGACACACACAGACTTGCAGTTCCCCCCAAGGTGCCTGAGGCCTTCCTCACTTTCTCCTGAAAAGGAGGAGACTCATGGAGTGTTCTGGCTGTTCACCTGTGTCTTTTGAAGCTTAGTAGTTGTGTGACCTTGGACAAGTCACTTCACCTCTGTTTACCTCCATTTACTGAACTGTAAAATGGGGACCATAATAGCACCTGCCTCAAAGGGTAGTTATAAGGATCAAATGAGATGATATTTGTAAAAGTACTTGGAACATAGCAGGTGCTGTATAAATGCCTATTCCTTTTCCCCGCCCTACTGTGCAAGTCTCCATTTCTCTGTATCTGATACACATTTTAAATTCTTCAGAGATTCTTGTGTTCATGTCTCACAGCCAAACCGCAACACTGGTAGAATGTTAGTTTATAAAATGTGGGCTTTTGTTCAGGGGGAAAGACTGAGATCCTTAAAGGAGGCTTACAGTCTCCTGAAGGCGATCCAGCCTTCTCTCTTCCTCCTGCTTCATTCTAGACCCAACTCATTGTCCATTTGTAGTGTCTGTCCCAGAGACACATACCAATGGACAAGCTCTCTAGGATTTCCATGTACCTGCAGGTCATAATCTGGGCCATAGACATGCTTCATCCACTTAGTCTTTCCTGTGTGGGTGGTCAGGCCAAATTCTTTTGAGTGGTGATGGATTGGGGAGAAACAAAGAAGAATGCCACAGACCCTGCCTTCAAGGAGCTTATTAGAAAGGATAGGACACAAATAAGTAGAATACAAAGTAGACTGATAGGGTCCCTATCCCTCCAAAAGCCAAAAACTGTGTATGGGCAAATGGGAACAGGGAGAGAGATTCCTTTGAACAGGGGGAGGGAATCATGGAGGATTCCAGTAGAATGTAAGCTCTTTGAGGACAGGATTTTGTTTTGGTTTTGCCTTTGGTGCTTGGCATACATTAGGCACTCAGTTAATGTTTGCTGAATCGAGTGGAACAGAAGAGGATCCTAACAGTAAGAGACGAGGAAGCAGTGTGCTCCAGGCAGGAAGTACAGCCTGGGTAAAGGTAGAGAGGCAGGGGATGACAGGATGAGAAGGAGAAGCAGAGTTTCCCAACCACAGATCATAGCAGATTGATTTTCCCACTCCAAAAAAAATACTTACTCTTTAAAATTTTTAAGAAACAGCCTCTTATGGTCTTAAAGAGTTGCTTAGAGCACTAAGAGGTTAAGATCGCACAGCCAACATGAGTCAGAGGCAGCACTTGAACCTGGACCTTCTGGCTCCAAGCCAGCTCTGTCCACTATGATATTGTTGCCTCTCTAAGAGCACTGGTAAAACATTTAAAATCCAAAGAAAATGAAGCTGAAAGAACTGGTGATTTGAGGTAGCTAGTGAGTGTGGTACCTAGAGCATTGCACTCAGCGTCAGAAAGACTTGAGTTCAAATCCAACCTCAGGTACATGACCGGGAGCAAGTCACTTCACTTCTGCCTGCCTCAGTTTCATAAACTATAAAATGGGGACAATAACAGCACCTAACTCCCAGGTTGTTGTGAGGATCAAGTGAGATAATATTTGTAAAGTACTTTATAAACTCCACGATCTAAATGCTATAATTACAGTTGTTATCCCTAGGCAAGTTGTAAGCAGCTGCTGAAGAAAGTCACGTTTTCACTGGGAGGCCGGGGGGTGCCAATGGGAAGAGCACTGTCTCTGTAGTCAGAGGAGGGAGAATCAAATCCCATCTTTGAGACTTATTGGCTGTGTGAACCTGGACAAGTCACTTACCTGCTATGGGTTTGACACTGTGCCTGAGCCTACCCCTTTCCTTACTGATCTTTTCTTTTCTTCCCTTTTCTTTTTCTCCAATCAATAAGCATTTCTGAGGTAGCTAGGTGGCGCAGTGGATAGAGCACCTACCCTGGAGTCAGGAGGACCTGACTTCAAATCTGGCCTCAAACCAAACACTTGACACTTACTAGCTGTGTGACCCTGGGCAAGTCACTTACTCCCAATTGCCTTAAAAAAAAAAGCATTTCTTTCCTCTTCCTCCCACCACCCTTGGAATAGAAAAAGAAAAAGAAACATCAGTAACAAATAGTATATTATAGTCAGATAAAATAAATTCCTACACTGGCTATTTGCAAAAATGTATGTTTGTTTTCTTGTTTTCTTCTCCAGATGTTAATGAATGTGTATCACCCGTAAGTATCTTTTGTGGTAAGGATGCAGACTGTGTTAATACAGATGGAAGTTACCACTGCACCTGTGTCCCTGGATATGCATTTCCTTCTGGGGAGGAGACATTCCGAAATGCCACCATGAACAACTGTCAAGGTAAAAACCTGTAGTTGGATGAAACAAATTTCCACATGGGCCGTGTGCAAATATGTGTGTGTGTGTGTGTGTGTTTCATTTTTTTTCTCATCTTGCAGATGTCAATGAATGTGCACCATCCATGAATATCTCTTGTGGTCAGAATGCAGACTGTGTTAATACAAATGGAGGTTACCACTGCGCCTGTAACCCTGGATATGCACTTCCTTCTGGGAAGGAGACATTCCCAAATGCCACCATGAACAACTGTCAAGGTACAAACCTCTCTGGCATTCTTTGGCTAGCCTGGGACTCAGTGAAGAGCTCTTTCTGCTGAGCTGAGAAAGAGAAGTCCCTCCCTGCATGGACCACCTCTGCCCAGGGCCCTTTGCCTCCTCATATGTCCCCTTCTCTCCTTCCTCAGGCCCCTCCCTCACTCTGCCTCTCTCTGATCAGTGCCCTTAGCCCTCACTACAGGGGCCACCTCTAAATCCTGGAAATTTTCCCCTCTTCCTGATTCTGTCCATCCCAGCTCAGGCCCCCTCAGGAAACCTCATCCAAGTGCTGTGGCCAGGCCTTGGGAGGCTGGGAGGTTCAAATCTCTTTCTAGGCTATTACCCAGAAGAAGGAATTGAGGCCACAGGAGTCTGACCTCCCTGACAGTGCTGCCTCCTGGGACCTAATATTTAGGAGACAGAAGGAAGAGGGATATTTTGGAGGGGACTAGACAGTGATGTCTCCACCAATGCCCTGCTAACTGTACTCTCAGAGGGAGGTGTCTGAGGCACTGAGAGGCTGGGGGCCTTGGAGACTCATGGAGCCAGCATTCTGAGGGGAAACTTGAACCCAGATCTTCTGAACTCTGAGCCTACCTCTCTCTCCACTCTGCCACTTTTCCTCTCTTATCCAATAGGCTTTCCCTTCCCCCTGCCCCCATTACATGGGCCATTTTATTTCTCTTCTTGTGTCCTTTCTTTCTCTCCCCACCCCATCTGCTCCATCCTGGGTAGGACTCCCTCTTGGCTCAGCCTCAGAGACCAACAGGGGCCTCCAGCCTGATGGGAGGAGAGATCATCAGAATCAATAGCTGGATTTCCACAGCCCTTCAGGTTTACAAAGCCCACCCTTCTCTCTGATTTTACCTCCCATTTACGCTGCGTGAGTCTTGTCTGCACATGGTTGTTTGCATCTTGTCTCCTCCATCAGACTGTGAGCACATCTTCCAGTGCAGAGACTGAGTTTTTCCCTATCTCTGTACCCCCAGTGTGCCTAACACAGTGCCTGGCAAATCAGAAGTGCTCTGTAAATGCTTCTGTACTGACTGACTGACTGAGGGAGAAAGTAGATGTATTTTTGATCCTCTGATGAGGAAAGTGAGGTCCCAGGAGGTGCAGACGTCTGCCTCCTTCACAGTGTGCCATGTCCCCAGCCAAGGCCAAGCAGCTGTTGAGAAGACCAGCCCCCCCTCCTCTGATTTCCTTCTGCCATATTTCTCGTTCCAACCAATATAGACGTTCAGGGATGAGAAATAAAATTAGTCCATTTCTTGGAGGAAATGTACTGGAAGTTGACTTTGGAAAGGAGCTGTGAAGGTCTTATGCAGGCCTTTCCCCTGACAACAGCCTTTAGGGGAGACAACAAAGAAACTAGAAATTCCGTCTCAGATGAAAGCACAGGCCATGACCAACTCTCATCCAATCCCTGTCCCTGTACAGATCAGGAACCAGATGACCTTATATTATTTGTTTTATTTTTTAATTAATTTATTTTGATTTGTCAACAATCACTTCCAGAAGCTTTTGAGTTTGAAATTTTTCTCCCTGTCCCCTCCCCCCCTCCCCAAGATGGCACACAATCTGATATAGGTTCTACATATACATTCTTATTAAACATATTTTCACATTAGTGATGTTGTAAGGAAGAATTAGAACCAATAAGAGGAACCACCAGAAAGAGGAAACAAAACAAAACTGAAGAAAAAATAGCAAATAGTGTGCTTCGATCTGCATTCAAACTCCTTAGTTCTTTCTCTGGATGTGGATAGCATTTTCCATCATGAGACCTTTGGAGATGTCTTAGATTCTTGCATTGCTGAGAAGGGCTAAGTCTATGAATGTTAGTCATCTCACAAAGTGGCTGTTACTGTATACGACACTCTCCTGGTTGTGCCCACTTCACTCAGTATCAGTCCATACAAGTCTTTCCAGGTTTTTCTGAAGTCTACTTGCTTATCATTTCTTATAGCACAATGGTATTCCATTACAACTTGTTCAGCCATTCCCCAATTGATGGGCGTTCCCTTAATTTCTAATTCTTTACCACCACATAAAGAGCTGCTATGAATATTTTTGTACACGTGGGTCCTTTTCCCATTTTTATGATCTCTTTGGGATATAGCCCTAGAAGTGCTATTGCTGGGTCAAAGGATATGCCTGTGTTTGTAGCCCTTTGGGCATAGTTCTAAATTGCTCTCCAGAATGGTTAGATCATTTCACAACTCCACCAACAATGCATTAGTGTTCTAATTTTCCCATGTCTTCTCCAACATTTATCATTTTCCTGTTTTGTCATGTTGGCCAATCTGATAGGTGTGATGTGGTACCTCAGAGTTGTTTTGGTTTGCATTTCTCTGATCAATAGTGATTTAGAGCATTTTTTCATATGACTATAGATGGCTTTGACTTCTTTGAGAGCTGCCTGTTTATATCCTTTGACTATTTATCAATTGGGGAATGACTTGTATTCTTATAAATTCTATTTAATTCTCTCTGTATATATATATAATGACCTTATATTATTAACAGATGCTTTGGGAGATCAGCTTAATGACCAGGTGGTTTATTGAGGGCCGGCAGGAATCTCTGGGTCACATCTTGAAGCAGCATCACAGGGAGATAGATGCTTACATGTCCCATTGCCCCAGGGAGGAGGGGCTGAGAAGATCCATGGAGGGCCTTGTCTTTCCTGCTCCCAGCATCCACTCCCTGCCCTCACACAGAGCCAGAAGATGGCTTCACTGAACGACATTCATTCTCTCCCTGGATTTCCTAGTTTGTTTGTGTAATTAGAATCTGTCCAAGGCAAAGGGGATGGTATCAATCAATGGGGCAGAAATTGGGTGGAATGGCCAGACACGAGATGGGGCCTCCCCATCTAGGGGTCACTAATTTCTCTACCAGCTCTTTTTGTTGAGTCATTTCAGTCATGTCTGACTCTTTGTGACCCCCTTTGGGGTTTTCTTGGCAGAGATGCTGGAGTGGTTTACCATTTCCTTCTCCAGCCAGTTTGACAGACAAGGAAACTGAGGCAAACAGGTTTAAGTGACTTGCTCAGGGTCACATAGCTAGTATGTAGCTGAGGCTGGATTTGAACTCATGAAGATGAGGCTTACTGATTCCATGGTACCACCTAGTTGCCTAGTTCCAGGAACCTGTAATAAAAGAGAAGTCTGCTTCCTGGGTCAATTTTACCTAAATGAAGGAAACAGGTGTCACTGAGATCTTTGCTTCAGGAGGCCCACGTCAAGGAGGGAAACAGAGACTTAGCAGAAAGCTCTGGAGGCTCCAGGGGCTTGGCATGTTTCTATCCAGACCAGTTCCATCCTCTTCAGGAGCTAGAGAGTGGCAAGAGATGACAGTGTCCAGAAGCCCCACCCAGGTCTCTGTTGTGTCCACACTAGGGTTGTTCCTCACCCTCTTTTCCTTCTTCTTACAGACGAGGATGAATGTCAGCTCGAACCCTTAATCTGTGAACCCCGTGGGCTCTGTATAAATAATCTCGGAAGCTATATATGCAAATGCAAGCCAGGCTTTGCCAAAAGCAACAAGAACCAGATTAAGGACTGCATTGGTAAGCCCCTGGGGGAGGCAGCCCAGGGACTCCCAGGGGATGAACTGAGCCCCTCCGTGTGTCTGTGAGAAGCCCCCTGGGTGAGCCAGCCAAGGATCAGGGGATGAGGCAGGGCGCAGCTTGTCTGGGGAAGGTGATGCCTCCCCCTGAAGTCAGAGCCAAGAGGGCTGGGGCAGAGCCACCCAGAGGGAGTTTGGGCTGCAGTCGAGAGCCTCTGACAGGGCATCAGCTACAAAGAACTAAACCAGGAACCTCTGATCTGAGAGAGGAAGCGTGGGCCCAAGCACTGTAGGAAACGGAATGTGGGCAATGCCGACTGGACACCATGGAGCCTGTGGGTGTTGAGGCAGCAGCAGCGGCCTTGGGACAGCACCCACTGGCACTCTCTGCTATGAGACCATGGATAAGTCACTTACCACACCAGAGTCTCAGACTGCTGATTTACGGAACACCCATCCCCCTACACAGGGGCGGGGAGGGAGGGAGAGGGAAGAGAATGAGCATTTACATAGGCATGATAAGTGCTTTATAAAGATAATCTCATAATAATACTCTGCAGCTAGGTGGCGCCATAGTGCCTGAAGTCACTAAAGACTCATCTTCCTGAGTTCAAGTCTGGCCTCAGACACTTACTAGCTGTGTGACCTTAGGAAGTTACTCAACTCAGTTTTCCTCAGTTTCCTCATCTGTAAAATGAGCTGGAGATGGGAAATGGCAAACCATTCTTGTACCTTTGCCAAGAAAACCCCAAATGGGGTCATGAAAAGTCAGACACAGGAAAAACAACAACAAATGACAGGGTGAGATGGAGAAGCAGAGTGTCCCACTTATGGTAAAATGATTTTCCTGCTTTACACAACTGTTATTCCTAAATCCCAGACATTAAAAAAGAACAAACAAACCCTCCTGCCCCTTCCTACTCCTCCTAGTCCCAGCTGCCTGGCTTCGCCCTCTCCCTTCTCTGGAGCTAGCCATAGAGGCCATGTAGGGCTGAAGAGGCCATTTAGAATGGATGTTTGCCTGGTTTTGGATAAAGTCATTCAGGTGGCACATTGGCTGTACTGCTGGTCTGGGAATCAGGAAGACCTGAGTTCATATCAGCCTCAGACACTTAAAAGCAAGGTGACCTTGGACAAGTCACTTGACCTCAGTTTCCTCAACTCTAAATTGAGGCTAATAATAGCACCTACCTCTCAAGGGTGTCCTTAGGCTCAAATGAGCTAATGTGTGCAAAGTGCTTCACGCAGTGTCTGGTACACAGTAGGTGCAGTGGGAATGCTGGCTGTTATTAGAAGTCAATGCACCCAGTGACGCCTGAAATGGAGACCTTCATCTTTGCCCACAGATGAGGAGGAGCTCAGGTCTAGCTTAGCTTCATTCTCTGCCAATGCAGAATGTGGAATAAATAAGTGTGTGTGTGTTTGGGGGGGTGGTGTTCTCGCCTTATTCAGAAATATCTGCTTATGACTCTTACAATAAAAATGAAGCCCGGTTAAGAATAGTATCTTAGATCCAGCTGTGGAAGGGACCGAGAGGGCATCTAGTGCAACTCATGCATTTGACAGAAGAGGAAACTGAAAGCCACAATTCATCATTTTGTTTTCCTTGGCTGTATATGTTTGTTACAAAGTGAGGATGTGGGGTGAGGGTGGGGGAGCAGGGGAGGCCATCCTTGGGAAGTGGAAGTCATGTTTATTTTGTTTTTTAAAAGAAAAGAGCATAAAAAAAATTAAAAAACTAAGAGACTGAATCCCAAAGAGCTTGTGACTTAGCCAAGGTAAGACTAGGATGTAGTAAGTAGCTGGTGGAGGACGTCACATGGTGACTGAGAGCCCGTGTGGAAATGTGGCAACAGTACCGACTCTGTAGTCCGAGGTTGGGGTTCAAACCCCACCTGTGGCGCTTAATACCTTGCCCAGGTCTCTATACCTCTCTGGGACTCAGTTTCCTCACCTGTAACATATGGATGTCGGACTACATGACCTCTAGGTTTCTTTCTAGCTCTACGATGTCACAATAAAAAGGAGCAAGGGGAAGGTGGGGGAAGGGAGGATGTTGCTTGGGCCAATCTCACCCAAAGAGGAGAACAGAAGAAAATTAGTGTCACTGGGATCGTTGTCTCAGGGGCAAGAAATGCCAGGGGGTTTAGAAGCCTCACCTAGGTCTTTGTTGTGTCCAGACTAGGGTTGCTAATCACCCCCTCTCCCTTCCTTTTGGAGATAAAAGTGAATGTCAAAACAAATCAGTCTGTGAATCAAATGGAATCTGTGAGAATACCATTGGAAGCTATGTGGACACATGTAAATCAGGCTTTGCCAAAAGAAGTGAGAACCAGTGTAAGGGCTGTATAGATCAGCCCCAGAGGGAGGAAGCCCAGGGACTCCCAGGGGATGAACTGAGGCCCCCTAGGTGAGCCAGCCAAGGCAAGAACCCTGGATGGGGAGGGGGTGGGGAAGGCAGTGAAGCTTCCTCCAGAAGTCAAAGCCAAGAGCACTGGGGCAGAGCCACCCAGGGAAAATTTGAGCTGCTGTCCAGAGCATAGGGCTGGGTTGGAACCAGGAACCTCTGAGCTGGAAGAAGTTTGGAATCAAGTGCTCTATGGAACAGAATATGGGCAGCACTAGCTAGATTTCCTGAAGTCTTGGAAACCCTGTGAGCACTGAGGCAGCCACGTGTCCATTTGGTGGGGAGAACAGTCACCTTCAGAATAGGACCTCTGGGTCTGATGCACTGGCCCTGCCTACTTCGGGGCCATGGGCAAGTCACTGACCCCCTCGGAGACTCAAGGGGCTCATCTAAAAACTCTTAGCCCACCTCCCAAGGGTGTAGTGAAGTAAGGCTTTGTAACCTTAAGGTGCCACAGAAACAGAGTCTGTTGTTATTATTCAGGCTGTCTGATTTCCCTTTGCCATAGGGAGTCCACCCAATGGGCCTTCCTCCATGACCCTTCTGTAACTCTGACTGAGCACTTGGACCAGTTCCCCTGATTTCCTTCACTCTCTCAAATACCGCAACTGTCTTTTTTCCATCATGCTTTTCCCTGATGACAATTTTCCTTCTGTTCTTTGGAGCTCCTCATGGGTTATATTGGCTCACACCCCCATGGGCCTCTCTAGCGCCCTCTGTTTGGACCTCGATTATGTTCTATGTCTCACAGTCAGACTGTAAGTAACACCAATGGAATATTGGTATTAAACTATAGACCTTTATTTTTTAGGGGTCATTAAAGGACGTTGGCCATTTCTTGAACTCTACCTGCTATCCTTCTCTGCTTAATTTTGAGCCCAATTCATTTACCACCTGTACTGTCTGTCCAGGTCATAAGCTGGGCAATAGACATTCTTCATCCACTTGGTCTTTCCTATGTGGATGGTCAGGTCAAATTCTTTTGAGTGGTTATGTATTGAGGAGATACAAAGAAGAATACCACAGATTCTGCCTTTAAGGAGCTTACAGTCGACTTGAAAGGCTATGACACAAATAATTAGAATACAAAGTAGCCTGTGATAGGCAGGCCATCCCCCCCTACCCCACCCCCAAAAAGGCCAAAAACTCTGTATAAACAAATTTGAACAGGGAGAGAGATTATTTTGAACTGAGGCAAGGAGAAGGGGATCAGGGAGGATTCCAGTAGAATGTAAGCTCTTTGGGGTCAGGAGTACTGTTCTGGTTTTGTCCTCAGTGCCTGGCACACAGTAGGCACTCAATTAGTGTTTGTTGAATTGAACTGAACAGAAGAGGATCCTAACAGGCAGGGTTGAGGAGGCAGTCTGCTCCAGGCAAGAGGTTCAGCAGGGTTTCCCTGCTCTACAAAAAAAATTTGCTCTTATACATTTTTAATACATAGCCATTTATAGTCTTAGAGAGCTGCTTAGAGCACTGAGAAGTTGTGATTTTCCCAGGATCACACAGCCAACATGCGTCAGGGGCAGGACTTGAACCTAGGTCTTCTGGCTCCAGGAACAGTTCTCTTTCTGCTACAATATCCTTGCCTGAGCACTAGTGAAACATTTCAAATCCAAGAAAATGAAGCTCAAAGAGCTTGTGATTTGAGGTAGCCAGCAGGCACAGTGGATAGAACATTGGACCAAGAGTCAGAAAGATCTGAGTTCAAATCCAACAACAGACGCTGCATGACCTTGGGCAAGTCACTTGACCTCTGCCTGCCTCAATTTCATAAATTGTAAAATGGGGATAATAACAGAATCTAACTCCCAGGTTGTTGTGAGGATCAGGTGTGATAATATCGGTAAAGCGCTTTGTAAATCCTAAAGCACTATCTAAATGCTAGCTATAACTATAATTACTATCCATAGGCAGGTTGTAAGTAGCTGCTGAAGAAAGATATGTTATCACTGGGAGGCCAGGGGGTCCAATGGGAAGAGCATTGGCTCTGGAGTCAGAATCAAATCCCATCTTTGATATCTACTGGCTGTATGAACCTGGATAAGTCACTTCCTCACTATGGGCTTCCCTTTCCCTTTCTGTAAAAGGAGGAGGTCAGAGTGGTCCCTCCAGCTCTAAATATGTGATCCTATATCCTGGATTAAATTCCTGTTGTCTAATTTTAATTGGGCCTTCCCTGCTAGACAGTAATCTTTTTCTTCTTTCTTTTCCTCCTTTTTTCTTTTTTTTCCTTCTTTCTTCTTTTTTCTCTTTCTTTTCTTTCTTCCTCTCTCTCTTTTTTCTTTCTTCTTTTCTTCCTTGCCTCCTTCTTTGTTCTCCCAATCTCACCAGCCTAGAAATGCAGCATCCACTCCTTGGCCCAGTCCCACTATTGATTGTCAGGGAACTTTTCCCGAGTTCCATTTCCAACCTGGGCTAGTTTTCCCAGCCTTAGGCAGATTGGTAGCTCTCCTCTCCTAAGAACTCACTATATTGGGGCTGGACTTAGTGTAGACACTCAATTGACTTTAACCTTCCTGTAGCTCAGAACTGCAGAGCTCAAGGGATCCACCTCAGCCTCCCTCTCAGGTAGCAGGGATTACAGGACATCCTACTTGGCTAATCCTTTTATTTGTCTGCAGTTTAATCACTGTAATACTTCCATTGTGGCAGTTCAAAACCTTGCCCTGAAACCATAAAACTCTCATGGACATGACCCCCTCGCTCCTTGGGTCTCAGCAGAGAACCTGGCCTCCTACTCTATTGAGAAGATCAAGGCTGCCTTTCCAAAGCTCTCTCACCTCCTGGACCTCCCAGATCCATCCTTTTCCATTCCTCTGTTTCTGGGGAAGAGATATCTCTTTTCCTTGCCAAGCCTAGCCCCTTTACTTGTGCCCTCCATCTTATCCCCTCTCCTCTCTCCAGGAGCTGGCCCTAGAGACCATGACCTGACCCTCCCCCTCCAAATCCTCAGTCTCTCCTTAGCCATCAGCTCCTCAGAGCTCCCCCATCCTCAGAAATCCCTCTCTTGGCCTCTTCAAGTTACCATCCTCTATATTTTCTCTCCTTTACTGTCAGAGGCCTGAAAAGAATAGTCTATATTTATATGGCAGCAAGAATCTCCCAGACAGAATTCAGAGATGAGGCTTGACACTGTCCCTGAGCTCGCCCCTCCCCCTTCCATCACCTTACTGATCTTTTCTTTTCTTCCCTTTCTTTTTTCATGCATTTCTTTCCTCCTCCTCCCACCCTCCTTAGAACAAATAGCATACTGTAGTTGGATGAAACAAATTCCCACATGGGCCGTGTGCAAATATGTATGTGTATGTGTGTGTTTCATTTCTTTTTTTTTCTTCTCATCTTGCAGATGTTAATGAATGTGCACCACCCATTCGTATCTCTTGTGGTCAGAATGCAGACTGTGTTAATACGGAGGGAAGTTACCACTGCACCTGTAGCCCTGGATATGCACTTCCTTCTGGGGAGGGGACATTCCCAAATGCCACCATGAACAACTGTCAAGGTACAAACCTCTCTGGCATTCTTTGGCTAGTCTGGGACTCAGTGAAGAGCTCTTTCTGCTGAGCTGAGAGTAGAGAAGTCCCTCCCTGCATAGGCCACCTCTGCCCAGTGCCCTTTGCCTCCTCATATGGCCCCCTCCCTCCTTCCCCAGGCCCCTCCCACACTCTGGCTTTCTCTGTTCAGTGCCCTTAGCTCCTCTCTACAGGGGCCACCTCGAAATCCTGGGAACTCTCCCCTCTTCCTGATTCTGTCCATCCCAGCTCAGGCCCCCTCAGGAAACCTCATCCAAGTGCTGTGGCCAGGCCTGGACTCAGGGCTGGGAGGTTCAAATCTCTTTCCAGAAGAAAGAATCAAGGCCACAGCAGTTTGACCTGTCTGGCAGTGCTGCCTCCTGGGACCCAATATTTAGGAGACAGGAGGGGGGATATTTTGGAAGGGACTAGACAGTGATGTCTCCACCAATGCCCTGCTAACCGTACTCTCAGAGGGAGGTGTCTGAGGCACTGAGAGGCTGGGGGTCTTGGGGACACATGGAGCCAGCATGTGTGTGAAGGGAAACTTGAACCCAGATCTTCTGAACTCTGAGCCTGGCTCCCTCTCCACTCTGCCACATTCCCTCTCTTATCCAATAGGCTTTCCCTTCCCGCTGCCCACATTACACGGGCCATTTCTTTTCTTTTCTTGTGTCCTTTTTCTCTCTCCCCACCCCATCTGCTCCGTCCTGGGTAGGACTCCCTCTTGGTCAGCCTCAGAGGCCTTCAGGGGCCTCCAGCCTGAGGGGAGGAGGGATCATCAGAATTAATAGCTGGATTTCCACAGGCCTTCAGGTTTACAAAGCCCTCCCTTCTCTCTGATTTTACCTCCCATTTACGCTGCTGCGTGAGTCTTGTCTGCACATGGTTGTTTGCATCTTGTCTCCTCCATCAGACTGTGAGCATGTCTTCCAGTGCAGAGACTGAGTTTTTGCCTCTCTTTGTACCCCCAGTGTGCCTAGCACAGTGCCTGGCAAATAAGAAGTGCTCCATAAATGCTTCTGGACTGACTGATTGAAGGAGAAAGTAGAGGTATTTTTGATCATCTGATAAGACAAGTGAGATCCCAGGAGGTGCAGAAGCTTGCTTCTGTGGGCCTCCTCCCTCACCATGTGCCAGGTCCCACCCAGGCCCAGGCCTCTGTTCTACAGCAACTGCTGAGCAGACCAGGCCCCCTCTCTCTGGTTTCCATCTGCCATATTTCTCTTTCCCACCAATAGAGATGTTTAGGAATGGGAGATGGAATTAGTCCATTTCTTGGAGGAAATGTACTAGAAGTTGGCTGTGGAAAGGAACTGTGAAGGTGTTATGCGGGCCTTTGCCCTGACACTAAAGGAACTAGAAATTCAAGCTCCGATCATCCAACCTCATGTTTCTACCTCTGCAACATTTCTCTTCAGTTTCCCCTTATCTTCTCTCATTAGGCCATCACCCCAAGTATCAGGCCTCCTTACTTCTCGCCTGGACTATTTCACTAGCCTTGTAATTGGTCTCCCTGCTTCTTGATCCATCCTCCATGCAGCTGGGTAAAATGGTTTCCCTAAAGCGTGTGTCTAATTACGTCATCCCCGCACAGTAAATTCCAATGGCTCCCTATAATTTCAGAGCTCTTCACAACCTGGCCCCTTTCTACCTTTCCAGGCTTCCTATGCATTATTCCCCTCTGTGGACCTTACGCTTCAGCCATGTTGGCTTCCTTGCTATTCCTCAAACCCTGTGCTTCACCTCCAGTCTTCACGCCTTTACCCAGGCTGCTCCCCCTACTTGGAATGCCCTCCCTTCTCATCTCTTTCTCTTGGAATCCCTGGCTTCCTTCAAGACTCAGCTCAAATACCAACTTCTCCCGGAGGCCTCAAGTGCTCCTCCCAGCTGCTAGTTAGTGTTTCCCCCTCTAAGGTACCTTCAACCACTTTGGATCTAGTATATCCCTATTTCTGTACATGTTGTCCTCACTCACTGGACTGCAGGCCCCCTGAGGGTAGGAGCTATTTTTGCTTTTGTTTTGTATCCCCGGCGTTTGCACAGTACCTAGCACAAGGCGATTGTTCAATGAATGCTTGTTGATTGGTGAGATGTGAACTGCAAAGCCGCAAGGATACAAGCGACTTGAGAGTAGAGGATAGCAGAGTTGAACTGGTTCACTAAAGGGTTGAGAGTAGGAAAGGAGAAGATTGTAGCAAGGATAGAGGGAATGGCCTAGGAAAGAAAAGAGATGAAGAGACTGGACCAGGTTATGATAAGGACAGGGAATAGATTTAGGAAGAATAATGCATAGGGAGATATGGAATGCCAGGTGGTTATAATCAAACAGAGTTCTAGATCACAGAAGTCTAATACTATCAATACTCAGTACCTACACCAGGGGTAGGAAACCTGTGGCCCTCTAGGTCCTTAAGTACAGCCCTTTGACGGGATCTGAATTTTTGGCCACACTTGAGGACCTAGAGGGCCACAGGTGGCCTCAAGGCCACAGGTTCCTCACCCTGACCTATACTTTCTCTCTTCTCATTCTCTTCTAAATTCTTTGCAATTTGGCTTTCAACCTCATCATTCAGCTGAAACTGCTCTCTTCAAAGTCACTAATGATCTGTTGTCAAATCTCATGGCCTTTTCTCAATCCTCATCCTCCTTGCTGTCTCTGCAGTATTTGACACTATTGATCATTCTCCTCTCTGGATTTTTGTGACATTGTTTTATCTTGGTTTCTTCTACCCGTCTAACCACTCCTTTTCTATTTCCTAGACTAGATCACATCAATCACATTTATTAAGCCCCTACTGTGTGCCAGGCACTGTGCTAAGTGCCAAAGATACAAAAAGAGGCAAAAGACAGTCTCTGCTCTCAAGGAGCCTACAATCTAATGGGGAAGACAATACGCAAAAAACTATATGCAACATAAGTTATATGCAGGATAATGAACAGAAGGAAGGCACTAGAATTAAAACACTAGATTTATACTAACTTTAAGTATACGCTATGGTGGGCCCTTGTCTTTTTTCCCCCTATGCTCTTACTTAGTGATCTTCTCAGCACCCTTGGGTTCAGGTATCTATGCAGGTATGAGTATGTGCAGGCAACAGTAAGATCAAAGATGTGTAACTGACTGGAACATGTAAGTAGGTGATGAGATTTGAGTTGAATGAGGAATTGGAAGATTGGGGTTCTTGAAGGATTTTCAGCCTGTATGAAAGGGCCTAGAATCAGAGCAGGAATTAAAACAGAATGCCAAGACTACGAGGCAGGAATGGAACTAACAGAGAAGGGAGGCCTGGGATAAAGGCAACAGTATCTGGATTGCATGAAAATTTGACAGACAGAAAGAAACTCAAATGAGAAGAGGTTGCTGAAGGTTGAAGGCAGAGGGAGATTTTGGAAGCAGAAAGGGGGAGTAAGAAGTATTCTGAGGAAGTCACAGTGCAACTGAGGCACAGCTGTGAGACGGTGGGAAGAACTCCTCTGGTGTCAGAGGACCTGGGTTCAAATCTCACCTCAGATGCTTAATACCTGTATCAATCTAGGCAGGTCACAACTTCTCTGGACCTCAGCTTCCTCATCTGTAACATCTGGGTGTTACATTGGATGACCTCTACATTCCCTTCCACTTCCATAATTCTATAATAAACAGGAGTCTGCAAGTTGGACCAATTTCATCCTCAGAGGAGAATGGAAGGAAATTAGTTTCCCTCGGAACATTGTCTCAGGAGGTCCAGGCCAGGAAGTGATATAAACACTGAAGGGAGAGATTTGTAGGTTCCAACGGTTTGGGATGTTTCTGTCCAGCCCAGTTCCCACCCTTCCCAGCAGAAGATGCCAGGGTGTCCAGAAGCCCTACCTAGGTCTCTTTTGTGTCTAAACCAGAGTTGCCCCTCACCCCCTTTCCTTTCCTTTTGTGTGGATGAATGTCTGCTCAACAGCTCACTCTGTGCACCCCATGGGGTCTGTATGGAAAAACCCCTTGGGAGCTTTAGCTGTGAGTGCAAACTGGGCTTTGCCAAAAGCAGCAAGGATCAGTCCAAGGAGTTCATAGGTATGCCTTTAGGGAGCACGTGGACCCGAGACACTGTGGGAGACAGCCCAGGGACTCCCAGGGGATGAACCGAGGCACTCAATGTGACTATGAGGAGCCCCCTGGGTGAGCCAGCCAAGGATCAGGGCCAAGGCAGGGAGAAGCTTGTATGGGGAAGGGGTAATGCTTCCCCCAGAAGTCAGAGCTAAAGGAGCCAGGGCAGGGCTACCCCAGGGGAATTTAGGCTCTTGTCCAGAATCTATAGCAGGGAGTCGGCTACTAAAAACTAGGAACCTCTGAGATGGGAGAGGAAGTTAGGGCCCAAGCATTGTAGGGAAGGGAATGTGGAAAGTACCAACCAGACACCGTGGAGCCGGTGGGCACTGAGGTAGCCCAGTAGAAGTCTGGTGGGAAGAGCGATGGCCTTGGGGACAGGACTTCTCAGTCTGATCCGGCGGCACTGACTGGCACTCCCTGCTCTGCGACCATGGACTCACTCTAAGCCTCAGACTGCTCACCTAGAGAGAGAGCATCTGCCCCCCTCACAGGCATGGGGGAAGGAAGGCTTTGTAAATCTTCAGGTGGGACAGAAAGAGGGCTGTCCTGAGTGAACCTTGGACCCCTTGACCTTGACTTTCAGACTGTCCCAGCCCCAGCTGGTATAGCCCAAGAAGAGCCAGGGCACTAAATAGGCCTCTTCTAGGCAGGTCAAACCTAGTTCATAAGGGCAGGAAGAGAGTTGAAAGTACACCTCAAATCCTTTACTGGTGAGAAGGAAGGGCTTTCTCCCCTTCCCACCTCCAGGCTCTAACCCTAATCCATGGTGGCCACGGAGGTGGGCTTTCTTCTTTAAAGGGAAGTGTAGCAGGAGAGAGGTCCAGGTTCCTGTTTTTAAAAGGGGAAGCTTCTTGGGGTGGGGATGGGAATTAACTGCTGTTATCTAAGACCTTAGAGGGGGAGGGGAACAGTGATCCAGGGGACCTACATCTTAACACTAGTTCTGCATGGGGGCCCACGTGCTGGATGGAAAGAAAGTGAACCTGGGAATCAAGGAAACCAAAGCTCAGGTCCTGGCCCTGCCCCCTCCTAAGTGACCCTCTTAGCCCACATCCCTGCTCTGTCCTCTGTCAGGTGGGGAGTAGATTCTCACCAGGGTCAAGTGAAGTCATTTTCCTCCTCTTCATTTTCCTCATTAGTGAAGGGGCAGGTTAATCATCCCTACTCTGCACTCTGCCTGGGTGGATCTGGGTGGATTTTGAGAAGATCTGGGACAGATGGAAGAGGGCTCTGGGTTCAAATCCAGTCTGTACTCCATAGTGGAGGTGTACTCATAAGCAAGTCCTTTAACTTAAGAGCCTTCATTTCTCCCATCTGTATAATAAGGAAATTGGACCTGAATCAGGGTTTTTTTTAACTTTTTTGTGTTGGGACCCCCTTTGACAGTCTGCCGAAGCCTCTGGGGCCCTTCTCAGAAGAAAGCTTTTAAAATAACTGAAGGATGCTCAATTTCGGTTAGACATGAGTGAAAAGGAAGCCTTTTTTTCCCATTCAAATTCCCTGGCTCCCTGAATTCTACCTGTGGACATATTGGGAGTCACTGAGCCCAGGTTAAGAATCCTTTCTTGCATCCAATCCTATGCTCCCATGTGTCTGGAAGCTTTAGGTTGGGCAAGCTGAGATCACAAGTGTGGTGTCACTAAAAGAAGATGGATATGAAAAGTATCCAGTAGAATTAGTTATTTCTGTCGATGCTTTATTATTGTCAATAACCATAACACTGGGATATGGCCAGAGTTGGGCTCTCCTTCTAGGGACATTCAGCTAGAGGCCGTGACTGGGAAGTAGAGGGCAGTGGGCTCTGGATCAGCAGTGGGGGTTCCTGTGTTCTACGCTCAGCTCTGACCCTCCCCACTTCTTAGTACTCAGTTTCCTCAGCTGTAAAATGAAGTTGGGTGGAATCACCTCTAAAGTTCCTTCTTGCAGTAAATCCTGTGCTTCTGCACTACCCCCTAATGGTGCTGCCTTTCCTGTCTCCCTCACAGAGATCTCCTTCCCTTCCTGGACACCACCCTCTGAAGTCAGCCAGGTGAGTGAGTATTTGGTAGCAACCTGAGACCCTCCATGACCACCTCTTCCTGTCCCGCTATCCCAGTCAGACTCTGGGACCCCTAATTTCCATTCCTGTTCTTCCTCTCTCCAGGGCTTCCTCAACCAACTGAGATTTATCACCAGCAAATTCAAAAATGCCTCTGCCCAGGAATCCATCACGGTAAGAAGATCCTGGATCCCAGGAGAAAGGAGGAACAGGTTCTGTCACTGACTGATAACATGCCATGGAGGCAGGGTCTATGCTCATCAAATGCTGTTCACACACCAGGACAAAGAGACATGCCCCCTCCCCCATAACACACACACACACACACACATACATACATGTACATATACATGTAGGGTATGGCAACGGGTTATAGTGAAAAGTGTACTGAATTAGGAGTCAGATCCCAGCTTGATCTCCACATCTGTTTCTTACTCTCTGGGTGCCTTATGTCAATCACTTAATAAATTTCTGTGAGCCTCAGTTTACTCAACTAGATTTAAAAAAAAAAAGAAAAGTAGAGCTGGGCCTGATAGTACACACCTGTAGTCCCTGGCATTGGGGAGGTAGAAGCTAGTGAATCACTTTAGTTTAGCAATCCTGAGTCTCAGAAGGATTACAGGTGATTGGGTGTGCCTACTGGTCTAGCACCAATATGGCGCCATCACCTGGGGGATGCTTAAGGATAAGCAAACTGGTCTAGGTTGGAAAAATGGGGCAGGTTCCATGCTGCTCAGCATCGATTGGCTCAGACCCATGAATGGCTACTGCATGTCCAGCCTAGGGGAGATAGGGAGATCCAATCTTAGGGGGCAGATGGAGGAAGGAACGAAAAGAGTTGAAGATGAGGCAGATGCATCTCTTAAGATCCTTCCAGCTCTCAGGGATTTAGTATAACAAAAAGAATGGGAGATTAGGGCTCAGAAAACTTTAATTCAAACCTTAGCACTGCTATTCATCAGCTATATGACCTTGGTTAAGTCACTCCCCTTCCCTGGGCCTCAGTTTCCTCATTTGTAAAATAAGGGAACTGAACTAGATGATCTAATATTGACATTCCACGTGTACATGCATGCCCACATACATCCCTAGTTGTTTTTGCTTATTGCAGATCTGTCCATTGGTGGGTTCTGTAGGCAGAAAAAATGAGAGGTAGAGGAGGAATTAATTGTCCTTTTCAGGTGAATTTCATGGCTGCCAGGATCTGCCTGTGATAGGATGGGCAGGAGAGCTCGAGGGGAACCCTCTGGCATTATCAGTTTTTTGTTGGCTCTGTTGTTTTCCAGGGTGGTGAAGGGACCCTTAAGGCTAACAGCTCTATTCATTCTCTTTGCCCTTCTCCCTATCCCAAACCCAGGAGTTCCTGAACGATATAGTGGAACTTCTGGAGTCATCCAGAGATCTGGAGCATCTGCCCTTAGAGGCTCGGCTTCAAGTGGCCACTTACTTGCTCTCTGGCTCTGAACAAGTCCTTCGAGCCCTGGCACAGACCATGCCCAATGGGCCCATGGTCTTCCCTGCTCTGAGGGGCACAGGTAAGCAAGCCCACCCAGCTCCCCCCGCCCCTAGCTTCTCCCAGCCTCCACATTGACTTCTTCCTCCTTCCTCAGAGCTGTCCATGAACGTTATGGAAAAACCGACAGGGAGCGTTGAGGTGGGCAGGAGCCATTCAAAGATGAGGCTGAACTGGAATTTGGCCTGGAAGCCTGGTGGCTCAGGTAACAAAGGACAGGACAGAGACACTAGGCAGGCTGGGAAAGAGGCAACCCACAGGCAAGGACAGGCTGGGGCCAGTGAACTGGTAGGAACAGTGAGAATTGGCCCAAATGACTAGAGCAGGAGAGGCAGGCTTAGGTGAGCAGGTGCACAGTCATTCATCCAACACTGACTAAACACTGTGGACCCTGCTGGGAACTGGATGCTATACAAGGTCTACAAGACAGGGTTTTTGCCCTTATAGTCTAGCAGGAAGAAAAACCAGCAATCCAGAGCGCTCTATTATACAATAGTGCCTAAGGGAAATGCAAAACTAAATGAATGCCATGTGAAGTCTGAGAGGAAAGGTCTTTATGGACCCAGAGGCATCAGGAAGACTTCCTAGAGGAGGTGGCATGGGAATTGCCCTGTAAAGAAGGGCCGGCAGGTGTAGGAATTGTAGCATTGAGAAAAAGCACACATGTGAGCCAGATCTGAGCAAGCTCAGGACACAGGGAATCATTCTGTCTGTTAGGAGTGCGGCAATACAAGAAAAAGAAAAGTAGGTGGCATCCTCTGGTAGAAATACAACAGTCCTGGGGGGGTGGGGGCAGAGGGAAGGCTTTCTGGAGAACGTAGCATTGGAATTGCAGGTTAAATCAGTGCCTGCATCTTTGCACCCCTCTCCCTCCAACAGAAAAGGCTGTTGTGGGCCTGTTCTCCACTCATAAAATGAAGAAACTGCTGACCAACGCCCCGCTTGTCTTGGAGCCTGAAACGAAGGCTGCCCTGCAGCAAATGAATGAGGCCCGGGTGGAAGGGGGCATTCCAGTTCTGCTCTCTGCAGTCAGCACGGCTTTCCTGAGCAACAAAGACACTGGAAATCTCAGCTCCCCAGTCACATTCACCTTCTCCCACCCAGTGAGTGCCCCTCGGGGCTGGGGGAATGGAGGGAACTGGCAAGTCCCATCTGTGCTGCTTCAGACATAAGAGAATCAACTGAAAGATTCTGGGAATGTTTAACCTAGAGAAAAGCAGACTCGAGCCACATATCAATAGCTGCCTTCACATAGAAGGAATTCAATTTAATCTGCTTGTTGCCTGAAGGCAATGGGGGAGTGGTTAGAGGCAGGCTTAGGTTTAACGACTGGGAAAACTTCCTGACAATTAGAGTGGTCCAAAAGTGGAATGGTGTGCCCCTGGAGGGACAGATCAACCTCCCACCCATCATCGGGGGTCTGCAGGCAGAGGCTGATACAGGGCCCTGTGTGGGTTAATTCTTCCAACTCAGAGTCTCTAACTACCACTGCTGGGAAGTGTGGGGCTTAACCTCAATTTCCCTGCTATGAAGAAACTTTCTTAGCCCCCAACCAATTGCTCGTAGCCAGAGTCCAGCCGCCAGCCAGAAAGTGCTACCTCTGCCCCAGGGTTCCATGGGACGTCCTTTCTTGTGCCTACAGAACGTGTCCTGTGAGCCACCGGAAGTGATCTGTGCCTTCTGGCAATGTAACAACGGAAGCGGTCACTGGGCAACCACCGGCTGTAAGAAAGTGGGCTGCAAAGGGTCCAGTACCACCTGCAACTGCACCCACCTCAGCAGCTTTGCCATCCTCATGGCCCAATATGATGTGGAGGTGAGAAGGGGCGGAGGGAGGGGGGTCCAGAGCAGTCAGTAGAAGGAGGGTAGGGATGGAATCAGGGGGAAAGGGAGGGGGTCAGGGAGGGTCAAGAGAGATGAGACGGGATCAGAGAAGGACAGGGGTGTGTATGGGGGAGGGGGGAACGTCTGTGGGAGTAGGGTCTATTCCACTGATGTTCTTGGGCCCACCGGCTGGGACTCCTCCGCTTGGTCCCAGGACTGGACGCTGTCAGTGATCACTCAGGTGGGGCTGGGAGTGTCCCTGGTCTGCCTGCTCCTCTGCATCCTCACCTTCCTGCTGTGCCGGCCCATCCAAGGCTCCCGCACCACCATCCACCTGCACCTGTGCCTCTGTCTCTTCGTCGGTTCTGCTGTCTTCCTGGCTGGCACCGCCAACTCTAGCCAAGGCCAGGTATGCACACTCTCTAGGACTTCTGGGCACTCAGAGGGTCAGGGGGCAGCCAGGGCATGGAACTGGTAAGAGCTGGAAAGAACAGCGGAGGCCCTGGGTGTTGTCCCTTATTAGCTGCGTGCCCTTGGCCAAGTGCCTTCCCATCCCCAGGCCTCAGTCTTGCCCACTGTAAAGTGGGCGGTGGGCCTCGGAGGCCTCGGAGGTCGGAGGTCCCGGCTGACCTGCTGTCTCTCCCCGAGGGGCGCAGGTGGGGCTGCGCTGCCGCCTAGTGGCCGGCCTGCTGCACTACTGCTTCCTGGCCGCCTTCTGCTGGATGTGCCTTGAGGGCCTGGAGCTCTACTTCCTCGTGGTACGCGTGTTCCCGGGGCCGGGCCTCCGCACGCGCTGGCTCTGCCTGCTGGGCTACGGGACCCCCGCCCTCATCGTGGCCATCTCTGCGGCGGTCAACAGCCAGGGTTACGGCCGCCCGCGCTAGTGAGTGCGCTACCCTTTCGGCCGGCCCTCCTGGGCCCCTCCTCCCAGCCTGGGGCGGGGCCCTCTCCTCCCCCTTCCTTTCCCCCTCTCATTTCTTCTTTCCCCCTTTCTTTCTTCCCCCTTCCCCTTTCTTCTTCCCCCCTCCCCCTTCTCCCCTCCCATCTGTCATTTTCTTCCCCATGGGTGGGGAGAGAGCCAAGCAGAGCACTCACTGATGGAGCCCCTTCCCTCTCCTCCCTGTAGCTGTTGGCTGAGCCTGGAAAACGGCTTCATCTGGAGCTTCCTGGGGCCCGTCACACTCATCATTGCAGTGAGTCTCCTATCATCACCTATCCCGGTTCTCCCTGGCCTTCAAACTCCTCAGCTTTTGGTCCAGGACACCTGAGCAGAGAGACACTTCCCGCTTACCTCAGCACACCCCCCCCCCAACCCCCAGGTGCAACTTCTCCCCTTGTTCTGATTGCTCCAGCTGATGGCCCAGAACATTGACCCAAGTCTGTCTCTCCTCCCCAGTTCAATGCCTTCATCTTTGTGATCACTGTCTGGAAACTCACCCAGAAGTTCTCAGAGATCAACCCTGACATGAAAAAATTAAAGAAAACTAGGTATAAATATGTGTGTGGATGGGGCCATTGCGGGGAAAGGAGGAGAGGACTGACCCCAGCCTGGCCTTTTGGGAGGAGGCGGGGTCATCTGGGCCAAAGCTTAGCCAATCAGAGGTGAGCCCCATTCATCAGTTTCCTCTTGCTCTTTCCCCACCAGGATGCTGACATTCACAGCCATTGCTCAGCTCTGCGTCCTGGGCTGTACCTGGATTTTTGGTCTATTCCTGTTTGGCCCTGAGAATCACGTCCTGGCCTACATTTTCACTATCCTCAACTGCGTCCAGGGCTGTTTCCTCTTTCTGCTCCATTGTCTTCTCAACAAGAAGGTCAGGGCATCCCTTCTGCTTGGGACCTGGCACATGGGGGGGGGGGGAGAAGCCCTAGAAAGCTCTGATGTAGTGGAAAGAATACTGGACTTAGCATCAGGCAGTCAACAAGCATTTATAAAGGTGCCTGCTATGAGCCCGACATTGCTCTCAGCATTGGAGGTTCAAAGAAAGGCCAGAGATTTCCCTGCTCCCAAGCTCAATCTAGTGGAGGAGATAACTGTACAAAAAACTAACAGGATAAATAGGGAGTAATCAAGAGAGTTGGGAAGGCCTCTTGTAGAAGACAGGATTTTAGCTAGGACCTGAAGAAGCCTGGGGATGAGGAGGGAGAACATTACAGGTATAGGGGACAGCCACTGAAAATGCCCAGTCTCAGGAGATGGTCTCGTTTGAGGTTCAGAAAAGAGGCCAATGTCACAGAAGACTGAAAAGGTAGTGGGTGGGGCAGGGTATGATGGGCTTTGGATGCCGGAGGATCTTATGTTTGATCTTGGAGTAACAGGGAGCCACGGGAGCTCACTGAATGAAGAGGGAGGGTGACGTGGTCAGATAGGGGTGGGGGAGGTTAGGAAGACTAATTGGATAGCTAAGTGGAGGATGGGCAGGAGTGGGGAGGCTCCTGGCAGGCAGACCAGTGGCAGGTTATTGCAAGTCCAGGCATGAGATATGGAATCAAGGGGACTTGGTAGTAGACTGGGGAAAGGGGTAGGTGAGGCGTAATGAACTGGGGATGATCTGCCTGGGCTGCAAGACTACATAGTTGGGAAGATAAGGATTCCAGGGTTCAAATCCTACCTCTGGCACTTAACTGCCATCTGCCTTACAAAACAATTGAGACCAAGAGGCCTAAAGCCTGTGATCCCTGGCTTCAAAGCCAAGGTCTGGGCTAAGATTCACCCAGCCCCACTCAATTCCCCCACAGGTTCGAGAGGAGTACCGACGCTGGGCCTGCATAGTCACTAAGAGCAAATACAATGAGTTTTCCACCTCTACAACCAGCCAGAGCCGGGTAAGGGCAGGAGGGCTGGGGGTCAGGGCTGGATGCACGGAGGGGCGGGCAGAAGGCCAGAAGGGGGCCCAAGACTGACGTCGATGCTTTCTCCCTCAGGCCCTCAGACCTTCGCTGGAGTCTGGGATGTGAACGACACCAACGGGCCCCGTGGGGACACTGCAGCTTTTGCACATGCCAAAGAATGATTCCGCCGCCTATTCTGTAACCCCTCTTGCCCACTACTCCTAAGGAATCCACCTTCCCTCCAAGGCAGGCCTCATCAAGGAACATAAAGCTCTAGGGATGCAGAGCCAGTCCTCAAGGGAACCAAAATATAGGTCATGCTATTCTGAGGGAGGGCAGAGAAATTGCCCTGGCTTAGAAACATGTAGCTCATGATTCCGTCCCCCACTGGAACCAGCTCCCTGGGGAGGGTGCTCTCTGGGCTCAGCCTGGGCTTATGTTCCCTCCCCCAGCTTTGGCACCAAGGGCCAGGACCACAGAAGATGAGATGGAACTGAGCCCCAATTTCCTTTTTCTCACGTTATTAGGGAAGGAGTGTGACCAACAGTGACAGGCAAACGGTACAAAGGGGCTTGTCCCCATCCTTATCTACTGATGGGGGACACAGGCAGCTCTGTCAGTGGACTTTTTTTTATTTGTTAATATTTATCTTTTTTTAAAGCTTTCTAAGGTTGACATTTCAGATTAAACAGACTGAGTTCATACATGATCATTCTGCCTCCTCTTTTTTCTCAATGAGTCCACAAAGATGATTACAAACTCTGATGTGCTTCTCTCTTCCCCTCTAAAAAGAATTTTTTTCCTAAAAATGAAAAAGAGGTGAGGCTTCTGTAATAAAAGTTTATTCTTACACAAATCTACAAGCTTTAAAACAGTAAAAATAGTTGCGATACCCATTACTCAGAAAAGAAAACATTAAAAGCAGCAAACGGAGGCAGGGCTCTAGCCCTGATGGTCTCGTCTGTGGCTTTTGGTTATCGGCTTTGTTCAACTGTAGGAAAACAGGAAAAAAGAAACACAACTCTTAGTTTGAGAACTTTCCTGCCTTCTTCCAAGAGGCCCCAGCCTGGCACCTTCTCTTTATACTACTCTTCCCCTCACAGTTGTCACTGAGCTGCTTGGGAAAGCCTGGTCATGACTTAAGCCCTACCAAGAACCAGCCCAGGCCAGGCCCCTGGCCCTGGGCAGATACTCACTGTATGTGGAGATGTCAATTTCCTCAGGCAATTCTGCCACATTTACTTCAAAGCGGTCCTGGACATCATTAAGGATCTTGGCATCCCCCTCATCAGAGACAAAAGTGATGGCTAAGCCCTTGGTACCAAATCGGCCAGCCCTGGCAACCTGCAGTACCCAGAAGATGACAACATCAGAGCTAGAAGATGAATGTTTTACCACAGATCCCTCAGCTACTAGACCAGAGAAATGTTTAAATATGGCAGTGGAAAGAACACTGACATTTATAATCAATGTAACACTGGGGAAGTTTAGACCTGTTTTCTTACATTGTACCATGACTGGATTAGATGAACTTTTCCAGTTCTAACATTGTATAATCCTAACCGTGACAAGGATGGGTTTCCTACTTCCTATGCCAATGATCCCCAAGTCCTTACTTACCCTGAGGGAAAATCGGCATTGGCCAGCCTGCTGTAGGAGTATGGTCAAAGTCCCCTCAAAACCAATTGCAAATTCTTACCCGATGCAAGTAGGTATCAGAGTCCTCAGGCATGTCATAATTGAAGACTATATTGACCCGCTCAATATCCATGCCTCGGCCAAAGAGGTTGGTGGCCACCAGGATCCGTCGCTGGAAATCCTTGAACTGTTGGTATCGTGATAGCCTGGAAGTTGGTAAGGACAGAGTAGAGCCATGAGTAAATTTCATGCCTAGAGAGTTCTACCTAGACACAGTCTTTCCTTAAGGCAAAAGAGTAGACAATCAATTTATCAAATAACTGAGATAAGCAAGGTTATTCTACCTTAGCCCACCTACAACCCCCACAGCCCCCCCTCTTTCTCCACACACATACCCTTTATCAAATGTCCCTCAATGATTAGGAAACTGAATGACAGAGTAGAAAGGAGGCTGGTGGCCTTGAACTTGGAGACTTAAATTCAAATCCCAGTTCTACTACCTAAGAGCTGTGTGTCACAACTTCTGTGTTTGTTTCTGTCTGTAAAATGAATTTCACAGTGTAGGGAGAAACATACTTTTGAGTCAAGTAAACAAGTACTTATTAAATGATTCCTTGATGGTAGGCACTGCGAAGAAGAGAAAGACAGTCCCTGCCCTCAAGGAGCTTCCATTCTAAGGGAAACTCCACAGCACTACTGAATCGTAAGGACTACTGCCGCTATCCTGAGGGAGCTCACCTTTCCTCCTGAGCCATGCCTCTGTGGATGGCAATGGCTGGGAAGTTCTGCTCTACTAGGAGCTGAGCCAAGGCCACACAGCGCTGCACTGACTTCACAAAGATCACAACCTAAGCAAGAGAGCACAAAGCACCTCATCAGACCCCCAGCCCATTCCGAACAGTGGGAGGGGCAGGACCCCCCCCCCAGTACAGAGGCATCACCTGGTTAAACTCCAGCACATCCAAGAGATCAAAGAGCTTTCTGTTTTTCTCACTGTCCTTAAGCTTCACGTAGTATTGCTGTAGTCCATGCAGCGTCAGCTTTGTCTCATCATCCACAAAAACTTCCATTGGCTGTGGGGGAGAAGGATGGGGATTCTTAAACTTCCACAGCCAGGCTCCCTGGGAGGGTCCCCACCTCAAAGAACAGAGCAGGACAACGTGGCAAAAAGAAAGCCCAGGGGTCCCACTCTGAAGGGGTCGGGTTTGAATGCTAGTCTATACCTAGCAAAGACGGGGGTGCCCAGGGACTTCTGACAGGGGATGGGGACAGAAGAGGAAGGGAAGAAACTGATGTGGGGGGAAGGTTGTGCCTGCCAAACTGTGCCAGCTCCCGAAGGCACAGGAACCCACCCCCTTGGCAGAGAGGTAGGTCCTAGTCCTGGAGGGGTACACTGCTCCAGCCATGGGGAACTAGCATCATTTCTGATCCCCAGGACCCTGTGATGCAGCACGTCAGGCACTGAGCAACCTTTAGAGGCAGCCAGGTCCCCTCCCTGCACCCTCTCACCCAGGGAGGGGAGAAGAGCAGGGCTCACCTGTTCAGTGTTAAGAGCTCAGAGTCACAGAATCATTATGGAAATCACTTAGTCCAACCCCTTCATTTTACAGATGAGCCAGAGGGGATGTGACTTGTTCATGGTCACACAGCGAGTTAATGCCAGGTTTAGAACCCAGATCTGACTCAGTCCACTGCTCTGTCTCCACTACACCACGTTGCCTCTTGCCTCTCTGTCGTCGGAGGAGGGCAGGCAGCTAAGCCACTCCTGGCTGCTCCAAAGTAAAGTCCAGCCTGTGGCAGGCCCTGCTCCCAGGTGAGGGGTGAAAAGCAGCCGGGGCTAAGAGGGGGATTTCTCCTCTGGTGAGCTGGGCTGGGGGCATGTTCTCTTCGCACTCACATCCTGCATGAACTTTCTGCAGACAGGTCTTATCTCCTTACTCAGGGTGGCACTGAACATCATGCACTGCTTCTCATGGGGCGTCAATCGAAAGATCTCCTGCACATCCCGGCGCATGTCTGCAAGGAAGGGGGACAAGGAAAAAGAACCAAGAGGGCGTTAGGTCTCTGCTGGCCAAGGTCTCCCCACACAAACCAAAAGCCACACTCACCCACACTTGGTCCCCAAGTCCCGCCCCAACCCCAGCAAACACAAGGCGTGGGCTGAGAGGGCACGTGACCTAGGAGGGGAAAAAATTCCTCGGGACTGAGCCCCAAGCCTGCTGCCCTCTGGGCTGTGAGGTGACAGCAAGGAATGGTAGGGAAGAGATGGGTGTAAGAAGGAGCGGTACTTTGACTTACACACGCTGTCACTGGGGAACCCAGCTGCGCCCGTGTACCTCGTGTCACGGCCTCGGGGTAGGGCAGCCTGAGGTAGAGACAGCTGGTGGGATTCTAGCTGTAGTTTGCACTTTAGACACACTTAAGACACATACCTAATTTCTCACTGACCCTCCTGACTCGGGGCCAAGTTATAGCAGATAGCTGTTGCTAAGCCTCCTCCTTGCCAAGACCTGGCCTGGGATGTATTCAGAGCCAGTAATTTGGGAACTTTGAAGTTCCCCTGGTTCACCCTTGCTCCCATTGCTTTCCCTGGTTCAAGGGGCACAAGGAGAAAACAGGTGGAAGGATTACGATCTATCCCCAGGTCAAAGTAACCTGCAGAGGTCATCTAGTCCAACGCCCTCATTTTAGGATGAAATTTAAGACGAGAGGTTCAGTGATTTATTCCAAGTCTCCCAACTAATAAAGGGGAGAAGGATTTGAACCTCCAAAGAAGTGGATTCCAAATCGAATGCTCTTCTTACTAATTACTCTAGTAAAATCCGGACCCCAGAGATCTGGGTGTGTCCCAAGAGTCCCAGAGGAAAGCCCTTCTCCCAGGTGCATGTGAGGGCACAATTAGGCACAATGGCAGGAAGCCGAATTCCAACAAATTTAGGCTTGACCTTACGGACTTTCTAACAACCGTCCAGATGTGAAATGAGCCGCCTTAGCAGACAGCAAAGCCCTCCACACTAAAGATCTCCAAACAAAGCTTAGATGACCATGACAGTTTGCAGAAGATATTTTTCACAGAGCTGAACTAGATGGTCTCTGAGTTCCCTTCCAACTCTTAAGATTTTTTTTATGTCTGGGGTTGAGTGCCAGGAGGAGGGAGGTTGTTCTGTGGGAAATGAGGACCCCGGACTCTTCCCAAGGACTCTATGGCCCCCATCTACCCTTCCTGTTCCCCAGGAGCCTGGCCTTAGTCTGACACAGCCAAATTGCTAAAAGCAGACACCAACTTAAGGGAAAATCAGGCTTGTCTTTATGGCTCTGAGGGAAATGCTTGGAAATCGAATAGGACAGACCACTAAGGAAAGCATGAAGGGGGATCCTAAATGTTCCCCTGAATGACAGAGAAGGGCAGCACCGGGAATGCTTCCCATTGCTCTAGGCCCATCTGCCTGACCAAGAACAGACATACAGCACAGAGCACTCCCTTGGTTCTTTCCTAGGGTGCCATGCTGCAGAGGCACGGACAGCAGAAACAGGAAATGGAGACTCACCAAGCTGCTCCAGCATCTTGTCACACTCATCCAGTACAAAGTGCTTCACGTTTTTCAGATTGAGACTCTTGTTGCGTACTAAGGCCAGAATCCGGCCGGGTGTCCCCACCACTACATGGGGGCAGTTCTTCTTCAGAATGTCTTCATCCTTCTTGATTGAAAGGCCACCAAAGAACACAGAAACCTGCAAGGTATACGCAGGGAGGTTGGGAGGAGGGAGAACCAGAGGTGCTAGCTGATAACGCTGGTTTGAGTACACCCATGCACATCCCTAACTCCCAGAACAAAGAAGTCTTTGGCTCTCCCCAAATACAAAGGCTGTTTTATGGTTGAGGACTTTAGGTTTGTCCCTTGCCTAGACAAGCACTGATCACTAAAAACCAGGGGACCAATCCCTACAAGAGGAACACGGTAAGAGGTTATCTTCACCTGTGAGAGGAGAGGAGTTGTCATAGTCCAGCAGATCGGACTCAGGCCAGAAGCCCTGTCTAAGCCTCTACTGGCCCATTAACTGATACACACT